GGCAGTATGTAAACCCACGGTTTCCCAGTCTCCCCTTGTTCCCCCGCTTGTTAATATGGAATTTAAATGAAGCAATTACAGCTTATTAAAGGCAGTTTTTCTTGAGAAAAAAAGAATTAGAAATTTTTGTGTACTATGAACGACGATGAAACCTAAAAAAATTAAGGAGAAATTTTTGATATTATGTTTGGGATTTATGTGCTTAGTAAAATACTCAAATAGCCGAAAATGGTCTGAGAAAAAAAGTAATGCAAATAAAAAATTTGTGAGCGTACGATACAATAGTTTCAGACATGAAAGAGAACTTCGGATTGCTTTCAAAGGAATTTTTATGTTGGAGACCACCGCATTTTTGGACTCTATTTATGAAACAAAATTGCATCAAATCACGGATGGTAGCAAACTGATACAAACTGTTTACCAGAATGGTGTCATCAAAGACTGTGAGTTCTCAGTAGAAAACGCTACCATTCTGCAGTTCGTGCAGGATTTTGCTAACGATTCTAAAATTTTCTACCGAAAAGAACAAGGTGACGTGTTTTCTCTGTACAATTCCAATGCTCGTGATACAAACTCCAGTGCTCTTGTGTTTTTTCGCCGGAGAAAGTTTTTGCAGAATTTTAGAGATCTGATCAAGATCAGACACGATATTAAACTTTGCCACAAAATTGCAAATAAAATCAAACGAAACCATCGTCTTCCACGGGAAGAACTTATTCCGGTGTACGATGTTGAAATCTCTCCAACAAACGACAAAGGAGGAACCAGAAGAAGCAAGCGCTCCTCTCTGTTTGCCAGCTTCCTGATGTACCCCGGCACCAGATGGTGTGGGAGGGGACAACTGGCCACTGAGTACGACGATTTAGGGGAGGATAACGAGTTAGACGTGTGCTGCCGGGACCACGATCTCTGCCATCACATCATAGAGCCTTTCACCAAGAAGTTCCACTACTTTAATTTCCGCTTCCACGCTGTGTTGCATTGTAAATGCGATCAAGAGTAAGTATTGAGACCAAAAAAAAAGGGAAAATGTGTATTGTAGAAAAACTCCATGGATACTGATTGCAGAATAATTAAGTATAGGATAAAAGATATAGAGATGCGTAATTATAAAGTAGTACATGTTGGGTAATAAAGAAGCGTAACTGCCATATTGCTGATGCTAAAGGACATATTGGGCGTTAAAAATTTTAATTAAGTTTTTAATTGTGACACACTGTTCATAATGTTAATATGAAGCACTTTATTAGCAGAACGGAATTTTTCTTTGTGGCAGGATAATTTATTCTTTAGTCAAATGAAATAGCATACAATGGAATTAGAGCATTAGCTAAGTATTCCACAATTGGACACAACCAGTTAACACACCAAAAGTGCAATGCACATCGTTATTTACAGAGATTTGTTTTTGGTAGAATTGAAACAATTTTCCAAAAACCTAGATTAATCTAAAAGCGTTTGAAGCGAAATGACATTTTCATAGTTACTTGAAAGATATTACAGATTTTAAAAGAAAATACACATGTCATAAAACCAACATCCATAAATGTACACAACGCAAACTAAGAAATAAAACGAATTTAGAAATGTTTTATCTTCATATTTAATCTGCGCAGGTGGCCTTTGAATGCTTTTATGAATTAAAAAAAAATCCCCTTAATCTTTTTTTGAAGAACTTTGTTGTGCACATCTGTAAGCCGATTTATATTTGTACTCTGCACAATGCATTTACTGCAAAGTAGGGCCATTATAATGACATTTCACAGAAGTCACATCACTTGACCCGCTGTCCATTTCTTATAAGATCGTAATGGTCTTTATTTCTAATGAACTTAAAACGTATATGGAAATTAAAAAGATTTTCCCTCCTTTTTTCTGTGATCTTTATTTTTTAGAATTAATGCCACACGCTTGGGATCTTTTACTACTTTAATGCAGTTGTACACAATAAATTTATTTAAATCGACCGGAGGTGCAAGGTTTATTCCGATCTTTGAATATCCACTTTTTGATGTTGTCAAAATTCATTATTTTCTATGAATTAGTAATAGGTACTTTTTAAGGTGAGTCATCCCTGTTATGTCGTGATGACAAAAGGTGCAAAGGGGTTCTCCCCCCAAAAAGAAAGCAGGTCAGATTGCATGAATAACATCAACACGGGGTCGGCAACAATTCCGTAAAAAAAAGAAATTTTGTGAACTGTACGTAAATTATAAAGACAAATATTGAGCCGATGACATCTCTATTGTCACCATGTCGCACTTTTTTCTTCCTCGGAATATCGAATTTCTAACTCCATTTTTTCTTTATCATAGTCACAGATGCAGTAATAATTACGTTTGGGTTCACCAGTTCACGATCAGGGATTTACTCATTTCTACCACACAGAAAGGCTATTGAATTGCAGGATATTGTGCACATTATGAAAATATAGTTCATTCATGAATTTTCCGTCTCAAAGATATTGATATATTGCAGAATTAATAATGCACTTCTTATTCAAATACAAATGATCCTGCAATGTTAATTTATTTTTCAGACAAAATATATCCTTATATCCGCTTACTGTGAAAACATATAATTGGTCTTAGTAGAAATTATTGTGGCGTGAGATTAAATTTTTTGAGCAAAATTATAATACTTTGGAGGCAGCTAGGGACTGTTCTATGGCTAAGTAATAAGTAAAATAACACCATGTTTTCTTCAGACGACAACACAGAACAAGGTCTCCAATTCCAGTTTACTGATTGAAATTAGAGTTTGAGACATACACTTCTAATAAAGCATCGTTTTCAGACATAAAGGACCACACAGATCCAGTCAGCCTATGTAGGTCTCTTAATTATGATCGATCTCAAAACGTCATCTCTTTCTTTCCGTTCCAATTAGAGCACCTGACCTCTTTAAATTTATCGAAGCAGAAATTTTCTTAACTAAATAATGGTTTCTTTATATTTTTGTAAGGAAAAAAAGAAAAAGTGACCCTTTTAAAATTGTCCAATTTTATCAAAGAACAAGGCGTGGAGGAATGCCTATGATTTCAAAAACCCCTCACCATTAGGAAATGATCAAAAAATTATACTTTTCCCCTCTTTGGCAGTTTATTTTTTATTGTCAGTAAATGGTTTACTTTTACAAGAGAGGGGATGCAAAATTTCAAGCCTTAATTATGTTCCCCAAACGAAGTTGGGGAACATATTGTTTTTACTCTGTTTCTTATTAAGGTCTTCCGTTTCAGACGGAAGGCCTTATAGTGATTCTACTGTTTCTTTTTCTTTTTCTATATTATTATTTTTGTTCCCTTTTTAAAAGCACGATTTCTCAGAGATGACTGGACGGATTCTCATGAAATTTTCAGAGATGATAGAGTTTGAAGATAGCTTTCAAATGCTGTTTTCAGTTTTTCAAAATGCACTTCCGGTCGTCAGATATGTCCGATTTCCGCTTTTTTCAAAATAATTTTGTCTGATTCATATCTCAGAAACGGTAAGAGATTAAGACACCAAACTTATATGTCTAATAGATCTTGATAAGTAGGCGTGCCCATTTATGTTATGATTGTCCGCCGTCACTTCCGGTCGTCACAGGAAGTGATTAAAGGAATCGAAAATTTCAACTTTTCTCTATTGAAACTTTTTTTGCATAACATTATTGCATCTAATTTGTAGTTCCGAAATATATCAGTCCCACCGGAAACAAAAAACGACAACTTCCGGTTATAAGAGAAAAACTACATAATTTGAGTATTTTTCTTTCCCATAAATATATTTTATAGATAAAGTATTTGTAATGATTTTTTGATATGTTATTCAGACTGCAAATGTCTACAGTACTGTTAAATATCTTTGTAAAATTAACTTCCGGTCGCGCGATTTTCGGTCCTCAAAATGAGAAGTTATCATAGCTAGATCTCGTAAATGGTAAAAGATTAAGACACCAAACTTATCTAGAGTGATTGATCTTGATGAGTAAACAAAATCAGCTGTGATACGATCGTCCGCCGTCACTTCCGATCGTCACAGGAAGTGATCCAAAAAACCGAAATTTTCAACTTTTCTTTCATGAAACTGTTTTAATTAGCTTCTCATTATAGCATCTTATTTGTTGTTTTGAAATATTTCAGTACCACCGGAAACAAAAAAAGACAACTTCCGGTTATAAGAGGGAAACTACATAATTTGAGTATTTTTCTTTACAATAAATATCATTATTTATAAAGTATTTGTAATGATTTTTTGATATGTGATTCAGACTGCAACTGTCTACAATAACGTCAAGAATTTTTGCAAAACTCACTTCCGGTCGTGTGATTTCCGGTCCTCAAAATGAGAAGTTATCATAGCTAGATCTCGTAAACGGTGAGAGATTAAGACACCAAACTTAATGACGTGGTTAATCTTGATGAGTAGGCAAAAACAGTTAGGATAAGATCGTCCGCCCTCACTTCCGGTCGTCACAGAAAGTGATCAAAGAAATCATAAATTTCAACTTTTCTTTTTGGAATACTACTTGGCATCACACTATTACATATTAATTGTTGTTCCGATATATGTCCGTCCCAAAAGAAACAAAAACAGCAACTTCCGGTTATGAGAGAAAAAGTTTATGAATTGAGTATCATACTATCCCATAAATATATTTTACAGAATGAGTATTTAAAATGATTTTAGACACGTTATTCAGATTGCAAATGTCTCGAGCAACTACAAATATCTTTTTAAAAATTGACTTCCGGTCACATGATTTCCAATCCTCAAACTGAGTAGTAAGCATAGCCAGATCTTGGCAATGGTAACAGATCAAGACAATAAACTTATATGGATAATAAACCTTGAAGAGTGGGCTACAGATATAGGGATAAATCCCTCCGACGTCACTTCCGGTCGTCACAAGAAGTGATTTAAAAAATCTAAAATTTCAACTTTTCTTCCATTTTTTTTTTTATTTTTTTTTTTGGCATTACATTATTGCATCTAATCAGTAGTTTTGAAATATGTCAACCCCACCAAAAACAAAACAAAAAACGATTTCCAATTATAAGAAATAAAACTACGTCAAGATCAAAAGGTCAAGGTCATTGGAAAAGTATTAAAATTGCTTATATATGTCTTTCCCCCAATGACCTTGACCTTAGATATTTGACCTTGACCTTTGACCTTGTACCTTACTCAATAGTTGAAAAATCTTTATTATATTTAGCTTGATTCAGCTTCAAGTGTTAAACTCACGTTTATAAAGTTTTTTTTATGACCTTGACCTTTGACTTCGATAAATGACCTTTAACCCCATTCACCCAAAGTTCACAATCAAGCTTGAGCTCGTGGACATATTTACATCTCTCACTTTAACAAATACTTATATACCCCCCTCTCCCTTTTTTTTCTCTTGAAAAAAATCAATACCAACATAGAAAAATTTTGTATAACTCAAACGACATGATATATCGACATGAAATTTAAGGATTGCAGTAGAAGACACATCAAAAAAAGTGTCCTGAGAGTGTAACGGTGAGTCTCTGATGTATATAATGAAATTCTAATAAGAATCGGAAAAAAACTACATTTTTTTCTGTCTTAAATCTAGGTACTGATGAGTATAAAAATTAATTAAAACTTGCATTGGCTATTTCTTCAGTTTTTGTCAACAGCATTCGATTCTCCTGCTCTAATACGAAATATAAATACCAAGTATTCTTGATTTCTTTTATATGTAGATTTTATTTAAATTTTATTTATATTTTATATTAATTGAAGGAATCTCGGAAATTACAATTTTTCCTATCAAATGAATTTCTACGCAATTCAGATAGGTTAGATAGATTGCGGTTATCTCCCTTTATACGTTGCAGTGTTGAGAAAATGCCCGTGACTGACAAATTATGACAACAAATTACACGTAATCTGCCAAGTAGAGTCCACATGTACCAAAAATGCATCCCGGGACTAGCCAGATTTTGGTTTGTTTTTCCGAGCAGGGTAAAACTCCATGTATTCTGTAAC